AGTCCAAGGTTGCAAATCTGAGCAGTCTGGTCAATGATGTAAACACAAATGAAAATTAGCCAATAATGAAATTCACTTGAGTTAAATAGGAGGTTGTTATCATACCTTGCATCCTCTTCTGTAACTAAATGGAGAGTGAGTCAGGTAAAGAATCAACCAGAGGGGACAAAGCAGCTAGTGCTGACACTGGGCAGTGTTCCAGAGACAGCAAAAAGAATATAAAATAAATAGGATACAAAGATGTAATTCTAGGATTATGTGTTTCCCCAAAAATATGCTGTTCCATACTCATTTTTAACCAAATCAGACTGCACCTCAAGTAAATAACAAAATACCAGTTGCCACAAACAGCCCAAATTAAGTATAAATATTTCTGAAGGCTTCGCTAAGACTATCATCTCACCCCTCAAGGTTCTCAATTCTTCTCTTCTTTTACTGATTCCTGGAAACAAGTGCAGCAGATTCCCCAAATCTTGTCACCCTGCACCATTATTTATATTTTCACCAATCTAGCACAAGTGCTACAGATTTGAAATGGCAGCACCCCGAGTTCACTCCTTTGGCACACACAGAAAAGTGCACACACACACACATGAGGCTAAAGGTGGTAGAAATCTCAGGCAAAGTGAGTCTATTTGATTGTAGTCATTAGAGTGCTGTGCATAAAGGGCTCAATCCTGCTCCCTTTGAAGTTGGTGGAATTACTCCCACTGAATTCATGTGCTCTGAAAAATGCCTGAGTTTTGCAAATTTATCATTTTTGTCATCTACGCTTCAGGTCAAAACTACAACCCAGTGTTTTAGGCTTGGTTCTGAGCCAAATGATTTTTCCTAAAGGTTCCAAGAATATTTGTCCTTCAGAGATGCGCCAATCCACTTTACAAGGAAGGAGCAGGGTGGCTGAGGATCTCAGAATGCTCTGAGGGATGCAAACATCTCACAGTGACCACAGCAAGCCCAGCTGCCAGGGTCTGCCCAACAACAGCACCTCACTTTAACTCAACAGGAAGGATGAGAGACCATCCCTTGAGAGAGCACTTCTGCAGTGGGTGTGATGATCCACACTGATTTACTGCCATTTATGGGGAATTACACCTAAAATTGCTACAAAGCATCTCCCTGTGGTTTTGTTGCTGTTTCTTCTTGTTTGGTTGTTGTTTTTTTAAAGAAAAAAGTAACATTGTGCTTCAAAACCTTCTAAATAAGCAATTCAACAACAAATTTCCAATGGTATTTATTTATTTATGTGCCTCTGGGATGACAAGGAGCGAGTGCCAATCTAGGGAATAGAGATAATGTTTCTTTACATTGTAAATCAAATGTAAATGCTCTGTGTGGTCAAGATGTGCTTTTTCCTACCTCACATATCCATATCAAACCCTGGTGTCTGTGCTGGCCATTTTCATGCTGATATATTACCAAAACATACTGTCAGCTGAGCAAAACAGCAACTGTAGCTGCTGGGTACAGAATCAAAATATTCTTCACTAAAACACTTTCGCTTTAGGGATGCTGGTGCCTAAATACATTGTTTATTTCACCTTGTTACTGTCTGCCAGGCTTCCCGTGGCGCCTCTTCCCCCACTGGCTCACTTCTGGCATGGCCTAACAGGAGGTTTTCCTTGAAAGAAAGAAACAAAACCTTGCTCCCTGCTTCTTTTTTCCCCCCTTTTGCATTTTCTTACTCCCCCAGTATAAACTTGGGCTGAATTCCATTAGCTTGGGGTCTGTCCCTGCTTTTTTGGTCCCATCAGTGACAGCTCCTCATCTCAGGTCCCTCCAACCATCTCTATCGTCCTTGCATCCCCAGCTTGGGGATGGTTCCCCTACAGAAAACCTCTGTGAGCTTTGCTCCATCGAATTCCTCATTTCACTGAGGAATTCCATGGAATGAGGAACCCCACGGCTGCTCTGGGGTTTTGGGCACCGCAGGTGACACTGAACCCCTCCAGGTGGGTTTGGGATGTCCCCATAGAGACACTGAACCCCTCCAGGTGGGTTTGGGAGTCTCCAGAGAGGGAGACCCCCACCCTCCTTGGGCAGCTGTCCCGGAGCTCTGCCACCCTCGCTGTGAAGAAGTTATTGAGGTGACACTTCTCGTGTTTTGTGCTTAGGGCCATTGCTCCTCAGCCTGCTGCTGGGCACCCACTGAAGAGGCTGGCACCTTCCTCTTGGCACCACTTGGAGGTTTTTGGAGTCACGGATGAGATGCCCTTGCAGTCAGTCTTTCTCAGCCTCTATTCTCAGGAGAACTGCTCAGACCCATCTCCATCTGCCGGACCCTCTCCATCCGCTCCTTCTCTTTCGGGTCCAGAGGAGTCCGGAGCAGGAGCGGGTTTATTTTTGCGGGGGAGGTGTTCACTTTCGCGGCCGCCCTCCCGCCCTCCTCGGCGGCGTTCCGGGGGCAGCGGCGGCACGCCAGGAATGCGCGCTCCCGCGGCGGGGCGCGGCGGCGCGCAGCGGCGGGGGCGGGATGACATCATGAGAAAGTGGCGGCGGCGGCCGGGCCCAGCGCCGCGGGGAGGGGAGCGCCGGCAGGCAGCGAGGGGGAGAGAGAGAGCTGGGGAGGGAGAGCGGGCAGGAAGGAAGCGCCGTCGGAAGCCTCCGGGGCCCAGAGCGGCGGAAGCGCCCGCATCCCGCATCCTCCATCCCGCATCATCCCGCATCCAAGGATGGGCGCAGGGAGCGCGCCCCGCGGCTCCGGGCAGCCAGCAGCGGGCGGTGCCGGCGGCTCGGGGATGCTGCCCGCACCGAGCCGAGCGGGGGCGGCCCGGCTCTGGCGCTGCCGCCCGGCCCGTCCCCTTTGTGTCGGCGGGAGCGGCGAGATCTGCCCGTCCCGCCCGGTAACAGCCCCGCGCCGCCATTGGCTCCCGCGCCGCCGCTTCCTGCGGCCGCGCCGCCCCCGGGGGCTCCCCGGGCCCCGCGCCAGCCCCGCCCGCCGCCGCCGGCACCGCCCGCCCGCCGCGCTGCCCGCGCCCCGCCGCGCCGCTTTTATGAATGGAGCGGCGGCCGCGTGCTCCGAGCGGCGAGAGGCTCCGCCGAGAGCCGCTCCGACCGGCACGCACCGGGAGCACGGGACCCGTGTGCCCGGGCAGCGGGGCCGGGAGAAAATGATCAGGAGGAAGGAGCTGGCGCGGTCCAGGGGAATGCAGCCCTGCTCACCAGAAAGGTGTTGGGGGTGCAGGGTTGGTACTAAATAGGGTCCCCCTGAATGTGCATGGAGGCACGTCGCATTTCGACCCAAGAGCGCGGGGTGGTCCGTGCTTCTTCATTTAATGTTAAAACCTCCCCGGCCAGCTAAAGTTGTGGAAACAGAAGTGGAAGTCCTGTGCGTGAGGCACAACAGATGGACAGAGGGACAGGGGACAGCTTCATACTGAGGGACCCTCCAGAGTCGCCCCGTGGTCTGTGGCGTCCAAAGGGAACTGAGAGCGCGGGACCTCCAACATCCTCCTCCTCCTCCTGACAGAGGACACAAAATGGAGACAAATGGTCAAGCAAACGAGTAAATGAGAAAAGATGGACAGACAGTCCGTGCAAAGAGATTACATAAACACACAACTGTGCAACATGCCCTGTGATCTTTGGCACTGCTCTCCCTGCAGGAGAGATGCTGTGTCCTCCATGGCCAGCAGCCCCTGCCACTAGCTGGAGTTTCTGCCATCAGTGTTGCACCCCTGGCAGGCATTCAACACCCAGGTGATGGTAAAGCACTGAGGCTCAGGTTAATCCATGCACCCCAATTTACAGCCTTCCTGCTTCTCCCAACACCACTTTGGGGCAGGACAAGGCACTTCTCCCAGGCATCAGCCTCATCTCCAGTGCTCCCCAGCAGGCCTCAAGCTGTGCTGTCAGCCCCTGGCAAAGTGAGGCTTTCAGAGATGCCCTTTTTTAACACAAACAGCACCAAGCAGAGCGTGCTCAGGTACAGGAGGCTCGGCCAGGGAGCGGGAGCTATTTACAGCAGGGCCCCATCACGAGTGGACAGAATGTCCCGGAGACACGGATGAGGCCCCTGCAGGCTCCAGCACTTCCCTCCCTCCCCACCAGCTCGTGTCGCCAGAGGTGCTGGAGGGAGCCCTGGCCTCCACTGTGCTGCTCCACAGGGATATATTTCCTGGGTGGGGTGCCGAGTGTGGCCTTCCCAAGTGTGCAGGATTAGGTCTCGCCCTGTCCCCTGCCACCTCCGTGCCCCTCTGGGAAGGTGAAACCTTTAAAGTGAAAACAAAAACAAAAACAAAAACAAAAAAAAAAAAAAAAAAAAAAAAAAAAAGAAAGGTTGGGAAAATAACCATCTTGGCAGAGTGGTGGGCACCCCAATTGTTTAAAAAATTTGGTGTGCGGTAAAACCATCCTGGCTGGGAAAAAACAGGGCTGAGGAAATGGGAGAAAGGTTTTCCCTTGGGATCAGCTACAAAGAGGAGTCGGCGTTCAGGCTGGGAGTGCACCTTTTTAAAGGACAGCACGGCAGCTTCGTGCCAGTGACAGCACTAATAATAATAATAATAATAATAATAATAATAATAATAATAATATTGATAGCAAACAGCGAGGCACTGGTGCTGCTCTGCTCTGCTCTCCTCCCTGGCGCCCCCGTAAAATAATACAAAGTCTCCTTGCATTTCTCTCCCTGATGTCTGTGTGTGGCCTTAGCCCCATTCATCATTTGGCTCCCAGTGCAGAACTTGCTCCATTTTTAAAATTATGCATGATCCACTGAAGAGACAATTTGGGTTTCCCCCACTTCTGCCTTGCCCTTGAAGAAAGCGAGCCCTTGTCTCATTTGCATTAAAACCCTGCTCTCTATAAGCTAAGCAAAGGGGAAGGACTTGAAGCCTATGGGATGGCTTTAGGGCTCTGCCCCTTGCTTTTGGCTCTCTCTCTCTTTCTCATTCTCTCTCGTGCTTTGATCTCTGCTTAACAACAGTAACGTCACAGAGACTACACCAGGAGAGTTTTGTTGGAAGTTAGAAAGTTTTTCAGCCTCCAGAGGGCTGTAGCGGCAGTAGCAGAAGCAGCATCCAAGGGACTCCTGGAAGGGGAAGAGAGAGAGAGCGAGCGAGAGACTGACTCAGTCCTGCTGCAGAGAACTGACTCGAGGCGACGAAGGCAGACATGGAACATCAGCTGCTGTGCTGCGAGGTGGAGACCATCCGACGAGCCTACCTGGATGCCAGCCTCCTCAATGACAGGGTGCTGCAGACAATGCTCAAGGCGGAGGAGACCTGCTCGCCCTCCGTCTCCTACTTCAAGTGCGTGCAGAAAGAAATCTTGCCATATATGAGGAAAATAGTTGCCACTTGGATGCTGGAGGTTTGTATCTTTCGGCGACTTTTTTTTCCTTGCAACCTCCGGCCACCGAAACGAATTAAGCCGGGGGAGCCGCTGCCCCATCTCCCGGCCCCCCTGCCTTTCCCCCGGGATCGCTTTCCCGGCTCGGCACACGTTGCCTGCCCTCGGAGACGCCCGCGTGGAGCGAGGGGACGCGGCCCGAGGTGGCGGCGGCCGCCGGCTCCGCGTCCCCGCTGCGGCCGCCGGGTCCCGGCGCTGAGAGGCGGCGGATGATCCCCCCCCTATCCCTGCCCGGTGCCCCCGGGGCTCGGGGGGTACCCGGCGCCTTTCCCGGCCGTCGGGGCTCGGCGGAGCCGGGGCAGAGCCGGCTCGGGGCTCCCCGGACCCGGCGGGGAGCGGCTCCGGCCCGGCCGCCGAACCCCGGCCGCGCTGCCGGCCCCTGCTGCCAGCCCGTGTTTTCTGGGGGATTTTTATTTTAAATTAATATCCTTGTACACGTATGCAAGCGGCTGCCCGTGCCAGTATTATGCGCCATCTTTGTTCTTTTATTTGCAAAGCAAAAAGTGTTTATTAATCGGGAGAAAAACGAAGAAAGTCCCGGGGAGCAAAGCCAAGGGTGTGTGTGTGTGTGTGTGTGTGTGGCGGGGGGAGCGGGGGAAGGGGCCGGGGGAGGAAGGTCGGGGGCCGGGGGACCCCGCTGGGGCTGCGGGCAGGGGGACCGGCCCGAGGGGCTCCGGCCTTTCTGGGGGGAGCTGCAGGGTGAAAGTTTCTTTGTTCAGCGTGAAGACAGGCTGGAGCTGCGGTCACCCCTCAAAGGCACGCTTGTGCTGCGGCAGCAAGCGGCAAGGTCGCCTGGGAAAAAACAGTTGGAAAGGGCCCGGTCCCTGGCGAGACACGTCTAGGGGGGATCCCAGAGGGAGCCCCAGGAGCTGGGCTACATTTTCATGCCTTTTCGGAAGCCCTGGGTGCCCGCGATGTATTTTTAATTAATTTTTGAAACCGCAGCGCCCTGCCTTGCTCTGGGAAATGTCGCGCCCGGCTGTGCTGCAGGGCGAGAGAGGGAGGCGGTGGATTTCACTTCGGGGGATCCTCCTGGAGCCCCCCAGCAGCACCAGAGGCACGGGGCTCGGTAAAGGACCCCTGCCGCTTCATTTTCAGCCTTTTTTGAGAGGCCGAATAATTTTTTAAATATTTTTAAATATTTTTTGAAAAGATGACGTCTGGGGAAATGAGGCTGGACGCCACCTTTGTGTCTCGACCGGAGGGGAATCGGCAGCACAACGGCAAATTAGATGAAAAAATAAAAGCGAAATAAATAAATCCGGGGCCGAGCCCGGCTCTGCACCCCGTTACCGACCACGGGGGTTAGCATTTTCCTCCGCTTTCCGTCTTCTTCCCTTTTTAAAAATTTGTTCTTAGGGGCTGAAAAACTGGGCACAGACCTCTTCTTCGATTACCCTCCTCCCCTTTTGCCATGAATCGCCTGCGGGTTTCTAACGCAACATTTCCCCCCACTTTGTCACTCGTGACTTTCATTTTCTTTGATGCCGCTGCTTTTCCCATATTTATCCATTTTCCCCCAACTGCGTTTCCTCCTCGTCTCCTTCAACCTTGCCCTTCAAAGCCTGGGGGTGAGGGAGGAGGGAGGGCGAGAGCAGCGGGACAAGCCTGTCTTTCGCCTCAATTAAATTATTCTTCAACGATCTCTCTCCTTCTTGCAGGTTTGCGAGGAGCAGAAGTGCGAAGAGGAAGTTTTCCCCTTGGCTATGAATTATTTGGACAGATTTTTGTCGTTCGAACCCCTCAAGAAAAGCCGATTGCAATTGCTCGGAGCTACCTGCATGTTTGTGGCTTCAAAAATGAAGGAAACTATTCCTCTGACCGCAGAAAAACTGTGCATTTATACAGATAACTCCATTAGACCCGACGAATTACTGGTAATTTCACGTTCAGTCGCTTCAGGATTAAAAAAAAAAAAATCGATGCAAAAAATTTAAGAAAAATATAAAAAAAAAATGTAGGGGAAAATGACGGCAACGCCGCACGTTGGGAAGCGGCGGGCGGGACCTGCGGATGCGGCGCGGGCCGGGATGGGGCCGGGATGGGATCGGGAGCGGGAGCGGCACCGGCGGCCGGCCCGGCGCTGGGCGGCCCGCGGGCTCCCCCTGGCGGCCGCGGCGGGCGCTGCCCCGGCGCGGGGGGACCCGGTGCCGCTCCCGGCCCGGCGCTGCCGCTGCTGCCGAGCCCCGGCACCACCGTGTGCGAGCGGCTCTAACCACGCTCCCCCTACCCCACCCCCTGCTCCTTCCGCTTCTCTCCTTCCCCCTTCCCGTCCCTCTCTCTTCTCTTTGCAGCAAATGGAGCTGCTGCTGGTGAATAAGCTGAAATGGAATCTGGCCGCAATGACCCCCCACGATTTCATTGAACATTTCCTCACTAAAATGCCTCTGGCAGAGGACACCAAGCAGATCATCCGTAAACATGCTCAGACTTTTGTGGCTCTGTGCGCTACAGGTATGAGCCCTGCACGTTGCGCAAAGCGCGTTGCTCCCCGACACCATGCGCCCACCCCCTGGCTTGTAAAGCTTCCCGTAGCTGTTGGTCTCAGAGCTGCGGGGAGGTAGTTTAAGCCCCGATTATTGCCCCTTGTTTGCAGAAGGTGGATTACTTTGCCAGAGGTAAGTTTTTTTATTTTCAGAAGATATTTCGCCTCTGAGTCGGAGTTTTGTGTGGATGTCAGGGAGGGGGACCCCCCATCACTCTCTGTAGCTCAGCACGGTGTGATTTCATGATTTCATGATTTCCTCACCTCCCCACACCGGGTTTATGTAGGCGCTGCAAAAGGCTCACTGCCCGTGCAGGGAATCCCTCCCTGTGTGGATTCATTCTCTAGGATGAGGCAGAGGGAGATTTTCCCTGTGAATGGCACTGCGTGGGGGTTTTAAACTTTCCCTCTTCAAGCTGCCTCTTCCCCCCTCCCTTCCCTCCTCGGTGGCCAGTGGATTGGAGGAGGGCCACGCGGCACGGAGGCTTTTCCTGGCACAGGACCGAGCCGCTGCCATCTGCACCCTCGTGACCACGTGCTGTGCTGGAGCCATGAGCAGGGCCAGCCTCCAAAGACGCCCAGGAGCCGTGGTATCCACGCTCCAAAACCTCGGCGGGACGGACGCGCGCGGCCGGTGGCACCCGCTAGTGCCGTCTGGCTTGTTCTCCAGAGGTTGGATTTGGTGTGAAAAAAGTGGAAGGAAGATGGCAGGAGCTCAGAAGGAACAAAAAAAACCCCCACAAAGTTAAAAAAAAAAAAAGTTTTATTTCACAGAACCAGCCCTGCTGCCAGGCCTTAAAGGTAGAACGACCAAGCCATAAGAGAGAAGTTTATAAACAGTGGCGTTGCTCTTCATCTTGGGCCTAAAATCAGCGTAAGGGGCAGCTCATAGGTGAGGTTGCCTGGAGTAATGCTTGGTGCTGGGAGCGCCACAACCTTCAAACCACCAGCAGGAACATTTTGGGAAAGTCCAGTGTGTCCCTCCATGCCAGGTTCTGCCAGATCCGAGGCTGCTGCGACTCTGGAGGCATGATTTGCTAAGTTTGGAGCTAAAAAGAACGGCCACCCGGGCTCCCCTTTGGATGTGGGGATGTTTAACCTAGGTTGTTGTGTTGGCAATGACAGGGATGAAAGCAAGAGTAGTTCAAAGGTTGGAGACTTGCTAAGAGTCCAGTACTTTGATCTACTGTCGGTGTTGTTATGTTTCTTTTAGGAAGCATATCCAGAGCCTTTATTTAACACTGCTACACACCACAGCTGGAGAATGGATCAGTAAATGAGAACCATGTTCTGGGAGTTTTACTGAGCTTTAAAAAAAAACAGTGCTGAGCTCACCAGTTGGGGCCCTCTGCAGCTCCCTACTGGAGCTGGGAATATTGCCTGGGGAAGGAGCACTCAGGAAGGCTGCCACTAGGCTCTGTGTTTTTATTGTTATTTTTGGATGTCAGGGCTTTCTCTACCTTTTTGCGTTTCTCATTACTTCTTTGTTGGCTAGTGAAGATCACATGTGGCTTGAGCAGCATCTGGACTTTGCTTTGCTGTTGCTGGGTCGTGCTGCATTTCCCCTTGCCAAAATGAACCTAGGTGGACTGCAAATGCCTTGTGCTGCCTGGATGCTGTGGGGCCCGATCCAAAGTCCACTGGAGACGCTGACAGCTCACTTAAGTGGCCTCAGGGGCAAGTGCAGTCTCTCCTCTGCCTGTGTCCTCTTCTGTAAAGGGGGTTCTCCTGTGAAGACACTGCAAAATAATGCTTGCTTAGAAAACAAACCCTTGGCCAGTTGGCTTACCAAGGTGAAGCCTGTGGAAGTGTTTGTAGATGAGTGTGTATGTGTTTGCTCCAGAAAAAGAATGTTACACTGCAAGGTGAAGTTGAGGGGAATTCCTCCTAGGCTCCCCCTCCAGTTGTCTGGTTAGTAGAAGCAGAAGTGGATTTGTTCGATTTGGTTTGGTTTTGAAAAATCCATTTTCACCAAAGGATGCCTTTGTGCTGTGGTAGGTTTGGGAGAAAAAGCGAAAAAGAAAGAAAAAAAGAAAAGAGAAAAGAAAAAAAAAATTACCAGGGCTTGTTTGAAGTTAACACATAATTGAGCTTAATGAATGGGACTTTGGCATGGCAGAGCAAGGCAGGGAGAGCTCAAAAGGAAGCAGGCCTCTTTTGGCCCAAGTTAAGACCGGTGTTGAGGGAGAACTGCAGCTCTATACAAGCATAACAATGAATAGCAACAAATATTGGAGCTTCAGCATTTCATTATGTTCCTCTGGTTATCAAAACATACCAGGCTTATTATTATTATTATTATTATTATTATTGCTGTTGTTATTGTTATTGCTTTGGTCCTCTCCAAAGGAGAAAGATCTCCCTTTGAAATGAGCACGTTACAATTCTCCCATTCTCCGGCCTTTATAAAATTGGAAGTCTCAAGGTATGTGACCAGTTGGAACCTGTTGCATCTTGCAGCAAGTGATTTATGTTCACAGTTTTGATTTGCCTCAATGAAAAGATTTTCATTCATAGCCCCCAGCTCTCCAGACGGATGGAATTGCTGCTCCATTTAAAAAGGAAAAGGGGTGACTCGCCTTGTTAGGAATTTTTTTTAAAGCGCTGCAGCGCCTATATGCCTGCTTTGTCCTCCCTTCAGGGTGGCTGGCATTCTTCTCTCTCCTCCCCCTCCTCTCTCTCTCCCTCTCTCTCTTTTTAACAACGCTGAAGTTGTTTATTCTTTTTGGATGAAGTCTCAGATAGGCTACTGGGGATGTGTGCTTCAATTGATGGGGCCCCCTACCCCATTGTGGCTGTGTCAGGTCTAATTCATCTCACCGAAGCCCCCTTGTTCCTGAGTGCTCAATAGCGCAAGATGAGGCGATGGAGGCTGACAATGATGCCACACTCTTCACTTGGGGGCATCCAATTACAGGCGAGAGGGGCCCCCTGATTAATATGCTGAAATTAGTGGCCTCTGCCACAAATAATTCCTTGTTGAGTTGCAACAAAAAGGCAGTCCATGCTGCTTGTCTGGAGTGGTTATAGGGACAGACACAAACTGGTCATTTAAACTTCATTATCACTTTTCCACCTTGGAAAGAATGAGGGTGTGACTACGAATTCATGTTCTTGTTTACTGCTCCATTTAAAAGAAGAACACAAATATTAATCCCAAACGTGATCCTGTCAGGACAGGCTCATTAAAGTGACACATTTTGGTCATGTCCCGTTTGTGGAGCATCGTAAACAGCGTCGGGAAGGCACTGCCACTCTACCCCTCTGAGCAACCCCATCCTGGTGGGATCCCTGCTGGGAATCCCCCATTTCCAAAGTCCACCTGCAGTTCTGTGTCACTGTTTCAGTTCAGGACTGGCTTTGGAATGGCAGAGCTTTTTGGAGTTTTTTTGGGAATGACAGCAGCTTGCTAGAAGTGGATGTGTTTACATCTGCCTGGAAACAGGCAGGTTAGGAAAAAGGGGCAAGCCAAATTTATTTTGATGTGTTTATTTTAACATAAACGAGATGACTTTAGCTCAGGCTTGCCTTTTCGCTGGCAGTGCATCCCCAAAGCTTGGCCAGAATTTCGTGTATCAGTTCAGTTATGGAGGTTTGCAGGATGCTGGGCCAAATGCCCCTTTGAAGGTGGGTATTGGTCAAGGCCACAGTGGAGTGTCAGAGGTGTCTGAATAAACAGATTCAGAGCCAGGACTTCCATGGAGTCCTGAAGGCTTTAGTTCCACTGGTAAAACATTTACACAAAAGTTATTTTATCATAATAAAGGAGATGCATGATTTAATACTTAAACAGTTCCACTGAGCCCTCTAAGCTGTCCATTCCTTTGATTTCATTCAGGGCTTTGACAGATGGTTTATATTTTTCCAACCCAGAGGAAGTTGTGTTCTGATAAAAGCTGAAGGAATGTATCTCAGGTTCTGGTGTACATTGCAGTGTTTCCCTTTCTCCCTCACAAAACTGGACCTTGACTTGTGCCAGTTGCTTCCTTTGTTCCTGATTCTCCACCAAGGTGTTCGCTGCCACAGATCAAATGCATTCCTGCTCAGCAGAAAAGAGTCTTATCATTAAAATGTAGACTATTATTATAATTTAAAAAAAAAACTTAGAAAAACCCAAACCAAATCAAACAAACCCAAAGGCAAAATATGCTAAATGGCAGAGATAGCCCCTTAAGGGATCCTGGGAGTGGCTTTGTGGAGAGACCTACAGCAATGCAGTCTGGAAGGGGGCCCAGCCTCTTGTCAGCATGGTGTCACATCAGAATGTAACTGATTGTCCGCCAATTCTTGGGACCCCCGTCACTTAGTTATGCCACATTTACATTAAATCCCTGTTGCCAGGATGGATGGCAGCCGCTGACAAGAGACTAGGTTGAGACAAAGCATTTTTAAGATGAAACCTTAATTTAAATATGGATTATCTGCCTCCTGACAGGGTTAAGCAGTCTTTCTCTTTTCTTTCTTTTTGTTGATGTTGTTGTTCATTAAAGCAATATTCCTTTGCGTGTTAGAGCAAAAGTTTCTGCATTAAAGGGGCCCAGGACTCATTGTTAGAGTGCACCTTGGGTCTGACCATGCAAAACACTGCAGGATGTGAACAGGTTTTCTCAGATGTGCAGTGCCATTGACCCCCCCATGGCATTATTCACAGGAGCAAAGCATTTAAACCTGGACAAATGGGGGCCCTGCTTATGATAAAAGTGCTTCCGAGTGATGAATGGCCTCCCAGGCCCAGTGCTAGGAAGGGCCACTCTCTGCAGAGCAGTTGCTCATGTGGATAAGTGTTTGCAGGTTTGGACCTGTAAGAGTTTTACAGCAGGAGGCACCTTTCTGCTCACCATTCTCACTGCCTTTCTGGATGCAATAGTTGGCAGCTGAAAGCCATGCTGGTACAAAGAGTGTATGTGTATGGACAGGCTTCTCCTAAAGCAATCATTTCAGTCTTTTTTTTTTCTCTCTCTCTTTTTTTTTTTTTTTTTTGTTTCTCTCCTTTCTTCATACAGATATTAAATTTATTTCAAACCCACCCTCCATGATCGCAGCTGGCAGCGTGGTAGCAGCTGTGCAAGGCCTGCATCTGGGGAACACTAACACTTTCCTCTCCTATCAATGCCTCACACATTTCCTATCACAAGTTATCAAATGTGATCCGGTAAGTGACTCTTCCTCTCGGTTGATCTCCTGCATTAAGGGTTTTTTAAGAATGAATGGCTGCTTGCTGCATGGGAGCTAATCTGACAGTAAATCTTGGGAGAGGTCAAGCCTCAGAGTGGGGGTTCTCAATGTGTTCTCTTACTTGTTTGGCTGTTGTGATGCCCACTGTGATAATCTGTGATGCCCAGTTGGGAATGGCACATCCAGCTCTGGTGTTTGGGACAGGAGGAAGCCCTGCCCCAATTTAGGATGGGTTTGGCTGGGAGTAATTAAACCAGGAGCCCCTGTAAAACAAAACTTGGGGAATAAGACCAGGAAACAGTTTGCTGAGACCTCCTGGTAACTCTGACCTTATCTTTGACCATTCTTGAGGCCTTTTATTGTGCCAAGTGGTGTGAAAAAGCTCTTCTTAAAAGAGTTCTAATGATCTAATTTGGTTTATTACGTGCTGGACCTTCACAGTAGCTGGTATTGAATTCCTTTTTGGAATGAGTGCTTGTCCCACGACTTTCTGACAAGGTAGATGGTCCTCACAGGACCCTTCATTTTGCCCTGCAGCTTCCAGGAGATGCACATCAGTAACTAGTGAGCAATAAACCTTTCATGAGTGAATGGGCCAGGAAGGGAGCCTACAAGGAAGACCTAAAGTCAATGATCCATGTCATAATGGTGTGTGAAGTTGGGGCAGAGTTGAGCTTTGTTTTGTAACAATGTGGAAGACCAATAAATGGATGCTTTAAAAAGGTTCTTGTGAGGTCTCCAAGAGCTGGACAATGAGTCAAATAAAGACAACTCTGTGGTTAGGAGCAGAATCTTGGAGATGCTGTGAAATTATTTTACATGTTAATAATTTAAATGCATAGAAAAATGTCCCAGTCCAGCCACTGCAAAACTGGGTTTGTGTAATTGGGCTTTGTTGATGGGATTGAGCAATTTCATTGCAATTAATTATTCTCAAATGAATATTTTACTTTTGATAGACTGTGTGAAACAATTGATGTAAATGCAGTATCTCAGCTTGTTATTTTATGTTATCACCTGAGCAGTGCCTCAGTATTGAGCACGTTCTTTTTGCCACTTACCTCACTGCAGCTGAAGTAATACAGTGTGGAAGTGTTAAATGCCCTAAGCACCTGAAATGCTGAATTCTCTAAGAAATGCTGAACTAATGGGCTGCTCAGTTTGGTATGCACGCTTGGTGCTTTTAGTCAGTTTGTGAACAATGCAAATAATTCCAGTGTGTGGTTGGCCTCTGTCCAGAGTGAGGTGTTTGAAGCAGGTACTGAGGGAAAATGCTTGCTGTCTGTCCAGGCAGCATCTTGATTCAAGCAAGATGATTTAACCATTCCTGATACTGGGCACTGAAGTGGATTCTCTCACATCATGCAGAACAACTGCCTGTCCTTATGTGACTTGACTTAGTTGATGACAGAGCTCTTGAAAAAAAAAACAAAGTTGCAAGAAAAGAGGATTTTTAAAAATGATTTCATTTCGATTGTCCTGAGTCATTGCAAGGCCACAATCTGACCTGGACTTGGTTAACAGCTTGAAAAGGGAGTACCTCCCCTCCAGCTTCCAGTGTTAAATATATTCAAGTGTTAGGTAGAAATAAGGATTTTTGTATGGATTGCTACAGAAAATTAGCATCACAAAGTTCTGTGTATGCACAGGTATATTGTTGTGTTTGGAATGGAATAAGGGAACAACAACTTCCACTGCAGCTGTTCTGGGAGAGGAATCTGCTTGGTTTCATACAGAGCATGATTCCCCTGCAGGGAGACTTTCCCAAAATACCTGTCTGTGTGACTCATGGTATCAAATGCCATTCCTGCTATCCCATTTCACTAGGATTTGTATGGAACCAGTGATGGTTCCCCTTGTCAGGGAACAGGTTTTATGTTGGATAGTCGTGGAATGTTAAGAGCAGGGCTGGTGTTCCCCCTGATGATCTGTTAGCTGGAGCACAGGTCTGTTGGATTTCAGGTTACATAATTACACTTTTTTACCTTCAGTCTCAAAGAGAGCTGAATCTAAAATAAAATGAATAAATTAATATCACCTGATTGGAATTCCTTTATGGTTCATGTTTATGTGTTGGTAGGAGTCCAATTTCCCATTTTGCCTTTGATCAGGGGTAATTAGAAGTCAGATAATCACAATTAGAAGTCTTGGGCTGTCTTCCATCATTCTATTCTTGACCCCATCATCCAAACAGATGGAATTTTACCTGACATTCATTTCCAGGCCAGAAATTTGCTAAACTAGATTAGATTGGGTCTCCAAGCTGTCTGTTCGTGCACTGGAATTCGCCTCCTGCCTGCCCCTTCTCAGAGGCACCTTCAAACATGTGCTTGTTATCCACAATGGGTCAGGCAGGAACAAAGGATTTCCAGGCAGTTCCTTTTTTGTTGTTGTTTGTTTCCTTTCCTGTGTGACCCTGGAGCCTGATCATGTCCACTGTGTCTTAAAGGTATTTCAGTTAAGCTAGCAAGTTCTTTTTTTCTTTTTTTCTTTTTTTCTTTTTTTCTTTTTTTCTTTTTTTCTTTTTTCTTTTTTTTTTTTTTTACTGAGGAGCTTAATTAATCCAGGAAGGGTTTATGACCTTGAACAAACTGTGGGCATTGAAAATTTGGGTAGTGAAGCAGAAAAGTTGTTGGGAGAAGTTATCAGAGTAATGCACAAGTTTTGTATTTGCTTTTCAGTGTTGGGAAGTACTGAGAATGAAAACAGCTTTGGTGAGGTCGTTCACAGTGAATTTTATGTTTTGCAGTTGTTTTTTGCTAGCTCTAATGCATTCCTACAGGCAAACTATTTATCTAATAGCCATGTGAATAAGACATGGACAAAATGCCTTAAAGAGTAAAAAAATATGTTTTCATTCAACTGTAGCTTATGACAGTCTGTTCATAATATATTGTAAAGATTGTTTAAAAAAAAAAAACAAAAACAGTTACAGCGTGCTGCACTCTGAGAATTTTAAATGAAAAAAAATTCTCTGGACAAAAAGTACCTTTAAATTACATAGTCCTTTGTAATTATTCATAACTGGACTCCAGAGGGAGAAGAATAGGTATTTATAGAAATTCTTTTGAATGGTTTTGGTTTTCAAAGCTCAAACACAATATATGCAAATGGTCAGGACTAAAAAAAATCCCCACAAAGTTCCCATCAAAACTCACCATGAAATGTACTCCCACCTGAAAAAAAACCCCTAAAACAAAACCCAAGACGATTCATTCTGCTCTGAAAAATTAAAATGCTTTCAGTTTGGGCCACTGAACGTGCTAAAAGAGAATTATCCCCAGAGGTGGCTTTGTAAAGCCAGGATCACCTAAAGCTGGTGTGGACTCTTTACTGTGCCTGTGGTCCAAGGGGGAGCCTTTCAGTCAGGATTGATCCATCATATCTGGAGGAGGGCTGGGTGCAGGGACTTCATAGAGACCTTATTGTGGAGGCCAGAGGTATGCAGGAGCCAAAGGCATGATGATGACTTTAGGATATGAGGCGTTTCTTTTTGTTATTTAAAACGCTGTGTGTCTCTGTCAAGAGGAAATATTACACTAGGCTTTAAACCAGGAAAGGTCATAGGTTATGTGTTTTCAGTGAGCTGTAACTGATGGTCTGATCTGCTTAGAGGTAGGATTAACCTCCCTCTCTCTCAGAAAGGACTTGCAGAGAATTGTTTGCTTGGGTTTCTAATCTTATTTTACCCCAAATGCCATGTGCCCTTATTGGTGGCAGAGGAGATTCTTGTGGTAGTGAAATCAGTGAAAAGCTGGTAGATCACACAAGAAGACTCTGAATGAAGGCAGAATTGAAACTGGGAAATAAAGAAAACAGCAGGCAGGTCACCCTCTCAGGAAAACAACATTCATTCTCAGTCATGCACATCCTAACACTTTTGACGGCAATTTATCATGGAAGACTGGGTTCACCGCAAGGGCTAACACATGTCATAGGTTAAATCAGAAAAGGCAATGCTGAAAGGAAACTTCAAAGTCCTTCATGCACAGAGTTAAAGATGTTGGGGGGAAAAGCTTACCGTGTTTGTTATAAAGATAAGGGTAAACAGCACACTGGATGAGTTTTGGCAAAATGCTGAGGGATTGTTTGGGCTGTTTAGGGCACCATTTCTGTGCCACTGCAGTGGGTGTACAGGGCTCCACAGCCTGCAGGAAGCTGTGCAGGTTGAGCTAAAAGGCCTTCTCCAATTCTGCTGGCTGGGAATCTGATATCTCTCCTCATGGTGTGGCATAATGCCTGGGGGAAGTTGCCTTTCCCCACCACAGACAGGACCTTCCTTAGTTCTTTACAGTTTTTTAATTCCCAGCGAGGCCTGTGCAGCCTCCTGAACCCTCAGGAGGAGTGTGTGCACATCCAGCTTGGAGAAAGCACTTTGGAAGTGAGGGGGATATGTCTCACAAGCAGAAATGAGAGGAAAATGTTTCACCCTGGCTGAGATTTCCAGGTGGATGTGGTAGCTTGGATGGACTTGGTAGTGCATGGTTAGGGAGGCGCTTTGTGGTGCTCCTGAGAGACCTCTCCCTTTTGGGGTCTGGCAATCCAGTCCATCTCTGGAGATGCTTTCAGGGTTAGGAGTTTATCAGCTGCCCACAGCTGGACATTGCAGCAGCTGGCAGGCAATCTCAACATATAAATGGCATTTCTGTCATTGGAATTTAGCCTTGGGAGGAAAGCCAGTGTTGGTGAGCATCGCTTCTAGCAAACTCCACTGCTGAAGGGTTCCTGGGGTAAAAGCAGAAATCACAGTTGTGAGCAGTGGGCTTGTAGAGAGCTGTAAACAGCACAGGCAGAGAAGCAGCAGTGCAAGGTACAATCTGCAAAAAAACAGGCTTGCTCAGCCAGTCCTTTCACTGTCGGGTGCTTCTGCTCTTCCCACCCTCCTTTCCAGCCTGCTGCTCTCCCAGATAACCTGGTGACATTTCTCTTGCTTTGTCAAGAAACCAGTATTTTACCCTGTGATCTTTCTAAAGGACTCTTGGGTCTCTCTCTCTCTTTTTTTCCCTTTCCATTGCACCCTCCTGCAGGATTGTTTACGAGCCTGCCAAGAACAGATTGAGTCCCTCCTGGAGTCCAGTCTACGCCAAGCACAGCAGCACAACGTATCCTCAGAAACAAAGACTGTAGAGGACGAAGCAGACCTCTCCTGCACACCTACTGATGTGCGAGACGTGAACATTTAAAGAGGACTTCCTAAATGGATTTGCTTGGCAAGAAAAGCAGACAAAGAAAGGGCATCTGAGATGGAATCGGCGTCAGGATATCCCCCCCAGAAACCCTTTTCTCCAGGACATTTTTATACCAGAAGGGAAAACCAGTCTTGTTATATTTTTTTCCTCGCTCTGTCTCCCTTCCATCTGTGACTTCAAACAAACAAATAAACAAAAAATACCCCAAAAACTGTCTTAAAAAAAGAAAAAATAGTATTTGCATTACCCCCAGGGGTTTGTGCTACAAAAATAGAGGATTTTATACAATAATAATCAACTAGTTTTTATATTGAAGTGTTCTTGTCTGTATGTTGTAAAAATAGGCATTAACACACAAAATGTCTCCAGGGGAGGTATTAGATTTGATTTCTTACATATAAAACAAACCAACGAACCATTTTTAAAGTAGAAGAGGGTGTTTTTTTTTTTTAGATAGTAAATGAAATATTCTTTTTCTTTAAAAAGCATAGCTTTAACGCAGTTCTAGGCTTTTCTGTATCTTGCTTGCTTATGCATTTAGTCACTTTATAATTCATCTGTAAATGTTTATTTTATTTCCTTAGGTTTTTTTTTATCCTCTTCACCTTATAAATGGTTAACGTAACCCATAAGTTAGTGTATATTAGTATGCAGCATTATTATATGTTAATCTTTTTTTTTTTTTTTTTGGTGCCTGTGGATTGCCTGTGCATTGAGGCATTTGTAGGGTTCCAGCTTAGCGTGGTTGGGAAAGGCCAATGTACTACTCATACAGGACCCTATTATAAAGAGAAACCGAAATAGTGACATAATATATTATATTTTTGTAATCTTCCTATTTTTGTAGTTACCTTTGTAAAAATGCTGTTCTGACCCCACAGATATTCAGCCTAATTATGGTCAGGTTCAATCCACAGTTCAGTCTTTTTTTTTTTTTTTTTTTTTTTTTTTTTGTTCGTTTGTAATATTCTAAAACCATTCCATTCAAAGCACTTTCAGTCCATTAGATATAGGAAATACATTCTTTTATTGTGTGGGAATTTTTTTTTTGTTTTTTTGTTATTTTTAATGGAATGGTTTGGAAATATATAAAGTGCTTGTTGGCAAACTTGGAATTGCAAAGCAAGTGCATTTAACTATGGTGTTAGAGGAGAGGTGATTCTTTTTTTCCGAAGGTTGTGTTCCAGTGAGAGAAAATTGCATTCACAAATTGCCAGGATATCTTCCTTTCCTTTTCTATAGAAAAGTTTGGAGTTTAGAATCCTTTGGTGCCAACTCATCTTTATAAATTAGGGGCCTTAAAGGTTCACATATAGGACACATAGTTTTAAGGAATATCACTAGATGTTTTTACAACTGAAGGTTTTTAAACACTAAAATATATAATTTATAGTTAAGGCTAAAAAGAATATTTATTGCAGAGGATGTTCGTAAGGCCAGTATGATTTGTAAATTAATGCAATTGCCCCTTTTGAAAAAGAAAATCTTTCTACCCTTGATGTTGCAGTTTTAACCCAGCTTATTAAAGCAAAAAAAAAGGACACGCTTCAAAGAACAAACCCAAAACCAGGCAGTCTATTTGGCCCCTTCCTATACATTTTCAAAAGCAGTCTAACCATGAAAAACGCCATAGTTAATAGATATGAAAATTGGAGTACTTGAAAGAAGTTTTTATTCCAGAATATGCCCCATTTTTGGTTTTTTTTTTTTTTAATTTAGCTACAAATAGAAAATTTGCACATCTTGGCTATGTATCTTTTTATTATTATTTTAGAAAGTAGCTGAAGGGACGTGGACATAGCTGTTGAAGTTGATGCTCGAGGAGAATGTGATGGTGAGATGTATGTGAGAAAACTGCCGCTAAGGTGTTGATTGTAAAAAAAACAACAACAACAACAACAAAAAAGAACAAAAAAAGGAAAAAAGATAAAAAATTCAAAAGATAAAAAAAAGAGAAAAAGACAAAAGAAAAGGAGTGGATGCTCCGTTTTTATTGAGCTGCTATGGATAAATTCCCAGCATGGTTTGAAAAAAAATTAACATTGCTTTTCTGTATCTTTGTCATTGTGTTTTGCTGCTATTTTGTGGATCAGTTTTTTTTTTTTTTTTTTTTGTTATACAATGTCATATACTGCCATGTAATAGGTTTTAATTTTCTCATAGAAAATTATATTATTGACATCATTTTTTTTGTAGATTTTTTTATGTGATCAGTTTTTACTTAATGTGATTACTGCTCTATTCCAAAAAAGGTTCCTGTTTCACAATACCTCATACTTCAGTTACCCGTGTCTAGACCAGGTTTTGATGTTCTTACAGTGCCTCATAGTTCTACTGCAAACAGAAATGCATCAAACATTGCTCTGAATGGGTCTCTGCATTAATTTAAAAACTAGCAGACATTTCAGAAGATCAATTTATGTCAAGGGTTGGTTGGGTTTTTTTGGGTTTTTTTTTTTTGGTTTTTGTTTTTTGTTATGCATTTTATAAAGCTGGATACTTTGTCTGATCTGGGGTTTATTATCATAGTAGTTTTAAGTTGTGTTACTAGCCACATTGATATATGAAAGGTGCAGTATAATATAACTCTTGTGTGCCACCTGATGTGGTTCTCCCTCAGCTAGGACACATCATTTGGTATGATAGGTTATCTTCTGGAACTCTAAGTATTTTGTGTGTTTAATCTGTTATGATATACTAGGGGTTTTTTGTTTGTTTTGTTTTTTTTTTTTAAATAATTATAGCATAATGCTAATTTAAAAAAAGCCTGTAAATCTCATAAATAAGCCAGCTAACAGAGTTGTATGCTGAAGAATAATCTAGCTGTTGCCTGTATGCTGCTAAACCAAAACAGAATTAGAACTCATTTTGAGGCAAATGCAGTTAAGATCCTACATAGTGCATAAATAAGCATTGCAATGCTACTAGCAGTCGCAGGACCCAGGAGGACTGGATACATTCTGTCCAAATTTCAGGAACATTTCTTACTGCTTACCTCATAAAACACTTCTGTTTGTGGCATCTCTGTGTCCCTGAACCAAACATGACTATTGAGTTTAGTGCTTGTTGGTTTTATTATGTGTTACACTGAGTGGTAGTGTGTACTGCAAATTTTTTTTGAAATATTGTATGTACTGAAAAAGGCCAAATCCAGATAAGTGGGTTCACGTGCCAACAGAGATGCTTTATTTGTCACGTTATTATAACAATCTGTAGTAAGCAAAAGCAATTCAGATTTGTACATTTTTATATTGTACTTATTGGCATCACTGGTCTGAAATGCACATTTTCACCAACAGACCTGTAACAGACAAGTTTCCAGCAAAAAAAATCTAAAGTCTAGAAATAAAATTGGTAAAACCCAACTGTTGTCGTCTTTTAATTTACATTTATCTTTAATTGCCTTGAAAATGCTGAATGGTTGTAACTCCCTGGTGCTCTGAGTAAAGCACGTGACATTTTCTAGGTTTGACACATTTGAAAAGCTGAAGACCTTTTGTTGATATTTTAGGAAACCGTGGGTGTTTCGAGCCATGGGTAGGTAACTGCCTGCCTGTCACACCAACGTGTCTTTTTAATGAAGCAATTTTTTTTTTTCCCTGCCTGAAGACTTTATTTTTTCACATTAAAGGAAATTAGTCATAGTAAAATGCCCTTTGGTGGTTCATGTGAATAAAGGGTAAAACAAAGTAGGTGTTGGATGGTACAGAGTGCTTGCTGGTATTTTCTCATCAGTGGAAGGTTTTGTGTCCCACAAGACCTTTACAGAAGACAGTTGGTTTTAAAAACCAGTTGGTTAAGCTGCCTTCTTTGTGCCTTCTCTCAGACAGCTTTTACAGCTAAGAGAATATGGAATAAACCTGAAAAACATTAAAGCCAACTAAAAGAATGTAAAAAAAGAGCTGGACCCAGGACAGGAATTAGATACTATTACAAAATAAAATGAGAAAAAAATTATAATCTCTGTTCCAATACACAGTCCAAAATATCTCTTAAAATAGGGGCTGCACATTATCAGTTATTACTATTACTATTATTATTACTATTATTTTCAGAGCTGAACACAGCAGAAGCAGCTTCTTTTCAGTGAAGACGGTCAAGCTTATAACCTATGTATTTGATTATTTATCCTGTGAATTTTTATCCTGTAAAATATATCCTGCATTTCCTTAAAAAAATTATGCAAAAGGCCAAGTGCTTGTCCTCCCTGTCACAAATTAGAAATTTGGTATTTGCCTTCTGAGTTTCCCACTGACTAAACTTCACATTACAACTGATTCTGTGCAGCAAGTGCAGCACAGGAAATGAAAAATGAAACTGCAGAGCTAACTTCTAACGTGTTAATTGTTGTCTAGTGCAGAAAAAGCTCCTTTCAGGGCAGTTACCAGTAGATGGGAAACCACCTGCATCAGAAGAATCCCAGATGAGTCTCTGTGAGCTCGGTGGTTTCCCAGTCATTTCAGCCAGAAACCTGAAGCCTGTGCGGCCTGCTGCAAAATCCCAGGTCAGGTGGGTGAAGTAAAACCAGTACAAATGGGGTCTGGTTTGTTCCTTTTGAAATGGGCAGCTCCTCTGTACGGTGAGTTACACTGGGAGGTGTAAAACACTGAGGGATGACCTGAACTAAACTCACAGGGACTTCAAAAACACATCAAGCAAAAGCTTAAATTGGTCTGGGCCAAAAATGATTCCTTTTTCCCAGCATAAAAAACCCCAAAAGCCCAGAAAGAACAAATAGCTTTCTTTTGTATGGCTGATGGCTCATCTCTCTGACCTCAAATGTTTGAAAACCAAGTGAGGACACACTTAGGGGATCTTGACTTCTGACAAAAATCTTGTGCTGATAAAAACATTACAGTGATTCAGTGAGAAATGTAAAACTGTGTTTGGTTGAATGTGTTAAGTGCATTTTACCATTCCCATCTCTTTTATAAATGCTGTTAAACTGACTAAGTGTTTGTGACTTAAGTAGGTTTAAGCCCACATAGTCAGTTCTGTTATTTACATTTTCCTTCTCCTGAACATCATCTCTCCTAAACTCCTAAACTTGAATGCTGGGTGAACTATGCCAGTATTACTCACATTGCAAAGGGCAGAAAGACAAGAATGTAGCAAGAAAAACAATTTACTATAGGCTGTAAAAAATATGCATGTTCAGCTAGACTATGTTGTAGCTTATTAAAGGGAAAACTACTGTATGTTTTTGTATCAAATTGAGACATGTACAAAGAAAAACCTCCAACAGATCTCCCAAAAACCTTCCCAGTTCCATTGCTGAATTCAGGCCATTTGACAATCTTGGACCTTTTAAGAACACTTAAATTCAAATGCTCTTTATTAAACAATAAACAAGAACTAGCAAATGAAAAAAAAAAATTAATCCACTTGCATTCAAGCACAGCTGGCATTTTAAGTGATAGAAAACTCCAGAAGATAGAGGAGAAAGAGAAGGTTGGAGATGTTTTTAAGAGTCACAGGAATGACCCATGCACGTGAGCTACACACGCTGAGATTCCTACAATGAGACAATGGCAGTAAAGCTGTAAATGATGGCATTTTAATGAATTTTAATTAATTCCTGTTGGCATCATTTTATGAGAAATGTATCTCTTCAGACAAACAAGGTATTTTTATGATCCCACAAATATAATTTCTCATAGTAATTGCATTGGCATGGCCAGCATAGATTCCCATGTGTCTTCTGACTGAGTCCCACACCATATTCCAATAAAGTGATGAGAAAGGGAATGCAAATTAGTCAGTGGGATTGCACTGATAATGGAACATTTGCCAGACTTCTGATTTTGTTCTTTATGGCCAAGCAGGACCAAATGCAGGAGGAAGGCAAAAGTTACCCATTTGCTTTTTGATTGTCATAAACATTTAAGAGTGAAACCAGAAACAGTTCCTTGCTGATCCTATAGCAGCTGCAGAGCCCTACCTAGACCTGTCCTCCTTTCTCCCTGTGAAGACCAGGTATTAAAAAGTCTCATATTTCAGGGAATTCACAGGTACGGATCTCCACCAGCACCAGGAACGTTGAACCAAAGGAGGAATTGTCACATGCAGGGGCCAAGCTCCAAGGCAGGACCTGCCACATGGACTGGCCAGAGAAGGAATCCTCCTCTGGACCGTGTGGGGAACAGAGCTCTGAGTCGTGCTTGTAGTGTGTGCATCATAGAAAGGAAATCGCCATCCACTCGCCCTTCCCTGCTTTAGATTCTACATTGCTGAGTGGTTTTGTTTCATTCATCCCACATGGCAGCAGCTCTGTGACATGGCTGAATTCCCCCGGTCTCCTGTGACAGCCACCATGTTTGTGGCTGGGATGTGATGGGACAGATCCTCACCCAAGGCCCACGAAAGTACCAGCAGGGCACTGTGACAGCATCCCTGAGCCAGCCCGAGGCAGTGACCTGGTGTCCTGAGCCACTCTCTGATGGCAAACTGTCTGCAACGGGCAATTGAGCTTTTTGATGTTTCATCTCTCCCCTTTATTAGATTGTATCACTCCAGATTGTTCAAATACAGGGTATTATTTTTGAACAGCTTTCTTTCCTCCCTGAACATCCACAGACCAAAGTTCTTTACATTTGGCTATTTTAAATATGAAGAGCAAAGCTTCAGCCAATGGATGCTGTTAAATTTCCAGAAGACATCATAAATTATTTACTCATAAGTAAACATTATTTCTTCTAAATGTAATACATTTATTTTGTGGGTTTGACTCAATATTTCTGTAGCCATTTCAGTCACTCATTCTGACCATTTAATTCCTTTTAAACACAGCCATTAGCCACATATTTTTTAGGTTTCTCTTTCTATGGAGACCCTTGGACTGCAAAGGATCAGAAGGGTTCTTCCCTTCTGGATATGACTTTCCAATGTCAGGAAAAGAAGTTTCATCTGCCTTCACTTCTGCATGACAGTGCTCAACAGTGCTGCAGAGCCAGACAATGCAAAGCCTCGTGTTTGTGGAACATCATTTCTCTCCTTCACAAACAGTTCTCCAGACACCACAATTCAGCTCTCCCAAGGTTTTAAATCCCTCTGTAAAACTGCTCAACATGTCTTCAGGAATCTCTTTCCTCCATGTTTCTGCTGAAGGAGTATTTCAGGCAAATCACAAGGCAAGGCTCCTTGAAAAAGTGTCTCCATGCTTGCTAACACCATTTCTTTCTTTCTCATTGAGGAATAATGATGCTGGAATTTTCTGAAATTTGTCCTCCTCCTAATGCATAATAGAGCTTAAAAGAAGATAAAGACATAAAACTGTAAAAAGCGAGGTTCTCAAAATGTGGTTCTAACAATGTACTTATGGTGAAGGAGGTTAATGCAGTCCCAAACTGTGCTCCAATCATTCTCTACCCTACTCAGGTGTTCTGGCTGTGACACATAAAATGATGCCATAATCCATGTGGGTTTAGGTTTCCAGTGTCCTTGACTACCTGCCCCACAACCAAGGTCTCCTCAAGAAGGAAATGCACTGCAGATATAACTCCTAGCTCTGCTAAGAAATGACATTCTGTTCTGTCTTGCTCTTAGTCTCAGAGTAATTTGCTTTTTAACTTGTACTTCAGAAACTGTCAAGTGCTTATTAACAATAACTTCTGTATGTGTGTGTGTTTTTAACAGAGGTAAGTGGGGTCTCAAAAATTCAATTTCTGCACATACATTGCAAAAAAAAAAAAAAGCAGGCCAGTTTAGAGAACAATGTAGGCATGTGTTTTTGAACTACTGTTCGTGCAGTCTGGTCAGGGCTGTGTGACACAGTATACAGTGTTTTGTCATCCAAGGAATGTCTTTGATCAAGAGTTTATGCAAGAAGAAAAAAAAAGCCATGAAACCCTAATCCGTTCCCACAGTCCAGTAAACGTGAGCTGGACAAACAGTGGACAATAGCAGCAAAGCTTGCTGCTGGAACAATGGCTGCAACTAAAAAAATTAAAGGGTTGCTGACTCACAGTTCCTACTATCAGGAAAGATTCCACACAGTGTTGATTATTCCCCAGAATCCTGAAGATGCTGAAAGTTAAAAAGTGTTGAGCTAAAGCAGCAAAACAGGGAGTTAAAATCAGAAATGGAACAGTGACAAATGCTGAGTTGATTCTGTCTGATGCACAGTCAGGATGCAGGGACTGAATAATCAACCTCCTTTCTGCTGAACATTTTGCTAAAATAAAACTCCATGATTTTATTAGGAACAAGCATCAGTTAAACTCTATCAGACAGGAGGCCACTATTTCAGATGTCATCCTAACAAATTCTGCACAACTAGAATTGTGTAGCTTTCTAATTTTTCCAAGGCAAAAGTTTTATGCCATTTCTTATTCCTATTCAGAAATCTCCCCAAAACCAGATACACAGAATGCTGCACTAGTGCTCAATTAGTTATGGTTATAGAATAGGATAAAATAATTTAAAACATTGTGCAGCAAGCTGCCTTGGAATCAAGTTAAACAATGCCTGAGATTTTTTTACTTTTCATGTATTCCATGGATTTAGGAAGTCTCCCACATTTCAGATGAGCTTAGTGACCACATCTCCTTCCACACAGTAGTGCAGCATTTGACAAGTAGTACTACAGAATTCTAGCACCAAAAATGCTGAAAAAATTTAATTATCACACTTAGAGAATAAACACTCCAGTGATTAAGGTGAGAGCATTCCCAGTGCAATGTCAGATATTCAGCTACAAACGAACTGACTGTGCAAGCCAACAAAACAGCACACAGAGCTTTTATTATTATTTTTATTATCACCCCAGGCTAGGCTGGTCCTGCAGTTCCAAACCCTGGGACACACTGAAGTGCTTCAGCAGTGCTTTGCTCCAGTTGGCTTTTACACATCGGTCCCAGACACCACAACTTGCAACTGGGAACCTGCTGAACTCCTCTCACACCTCCCAAATCCCCTTTTTCCTTGGTGATACATCCACTTCTGTGGGAATGTGTACTGTCACAACTTTATCCATTAAAAAAACAACTCTGGCAGACTGTAAAATGAGAATCTTCATGGTTACTTGCCAAACTATGAAAGCTGAAGTTTTAAGCTGCAATTAGACCAGCAGCCATGGTTGTAAGAAGTTGCAAAGGGCACTATTCAAAAGGCACCAAGAATAGAAAGAATTTGAAAACAATACCAGAAATATTAAGTTCTTACTCTAAAGCACTGTGGGATATTAGGGTGCAGGCAGACTTTTGACAGATGGATTTCCCTTTATTCCAGTGCAGGAAGTTGCATTTCCAGCCAAAGTGTAAATAAGCATTCATAAACACAGGGCAGGCTCAAACTCTCTCTTGCATCTCTTCAAAAACCAAAACCTACATAAACCTTGAAACTGATTTAGTGGAAAATTAAAACTCAAAATGTAATTTCACATTGAAATTATCACAACCTTGTTTCAGAAAAACAGATCAGGATTCAAATGAGCCAGAGTACCTCTACAGGGCTGGTTTTGAAGCAAACAAGCATACCTAGGTTCTTTTTTTTCTGATTTATTTCACTTGTTTCTGTCGATTATAGATATTCACGAAGATGGAATTTATCACCTTTAGTACAGCTGACAAGGAATGGAAAGGAAGTTGCTTCATGAAGACAGAACAAGAATTGTGCTTGGGAACTTTACCAAATGGTATTCAAAGTTTACCTCTCTGCTGCTGCCTCAAAATTCACTATTTCTTGTACTCATCACACATTGCAGAAAGGAAAATTACAACTCTTCTGGATTGCCATGACTTCAGCAGCTAGCAGTAATGAGCTGTGTATCCACCTTTTAATAAAATTCCATATTCCACAGGCTCAGCTGAGAGATGATCACAAAGAGACAAAACAAGCTAGAACTCAGTCCAGGCAAGTCAGAAATTGGTGAGTGAAATGTTTCAAACATTCCTCCCTAACTACTGAGCTGTAAGCAGGGCTGGTGAATGAGTACAGAGATATATTCTGAAGTCTTACTTCTGCGAAATTTCAAACTTCTTGGACAATCAGCACCAAGCCACAATCTCAGTGTCCTGCTTTATTAATAACAAGTATCATAATGTACAAGGTTGCATGGTTTTCTATGTCTTTGTGACCCTAAGACAAAGACAAATGAATATTCTTGATGTAACCTGGGCTATAAATCAGGCATACCCAAAACCTCAGCTGTAAATCAGGCATAAAAACACCTCTTCAGAATGCTGGGAATGTTCCACTGCCACAGCACTGAACGTGACACAAACCCCCACAAATCACTGCAGAAAACAAAAAAAAATGGCACTGAAGAAAGCACACAACTGCACATCCAACAGAATTTTGAATTGTACCTCATTTAATAAACTAAATCAGGCCCACACAAGGTGTGAAACAGAAGATATGCAGAAAAATACAGACTCATGGAAGAAGAGACTCCATCCGTGTGTCCACACAAATGAAACTTAATTAAAGACCTAATTAAAAAGAATAAAGACCTAACAGATAACCCTAAACTTGGTATATCCTAGCTGGAAACCCTGGTTGATACAATACTTATAGTATAGTATATATACATGTATTTGCATAATAATTTATTATGTATGTTTTTAAATAGAACTAAAGCAATACAAGAAAATTAGCCACCAAACCAATTTTCCAAATAAAGTCACCGCCCGAGTGCCAGAGACCCTTTCTCTCCTGAGCTGAACAAAAATAATTGTGTTTGATACAATCTCTGGAGCAGCACCTTGGCTTGTCACCCACATGTCACACACTTCTATTAAACAAATGCTCCACCTGGAGCTCTCACAACCCTGCCCTTGCTTTTACAGACATTTTAGCAAATGAGGAAACAAGTAAAAATTCATTCCTGCCTCAGTGTTACTTCAGTGCAAAGATATTCTCCACATAATTAGAATCATCATGAGTGTGTACACTCTGTACTATTTTAACCACTTCACCTATTTGTGAGCTCCTACAATCCCACACATCCACTAGATGGCTCTGACACTGCCTGTGGGGATCAAAATTCACATGTAAGACAATTAAACAAGCCACAAACCTCAAATCTGTCTTTGATTTTCATATTTCATATCAAATTCATAAGGCTGAACCCATGCCATGCAGGCAGAGCCAGACACACACAGGGTACAGGTGGTAAAAGGAATTCTGGAATTCCTCACTGGAATGCAAAGACATCAGCAGCCCAAGGCAAAGCCTGTTCCAGGCACTCCTCTCAGCTAACACAGCTGGCAGCATCCAGTGGTTTGGAATGAGACTGAAGTTGTCACTTTTCAAGGCTGGCACATAAAAAGCTGGTCTGTGTGAGAGGTACTGACAAATATAGTCAATGAGAATCACAACTCTCCTGGCAGTCATGTTCATCTCATCCATCATTTAAACTGGTAACTTGTAGGCAAGTGGTTGGATTTTGTGGAGTTTGCTCCCTTCCCCCATCAGTCTGCAAAACTATTGGAAAATCCAGGTGCAAATTCCATATTCTAAGCAGGTATCTTCATGCTTCTCCTCTGCATTCTGATCTCCTTTGTCATTCCATCTTCTCCCCACAAAAATGTTTCCTGCTGCAAAGTCTGCAGGGAGTTGATTTTACTTTCCTTCACCCACAGCACGTACACATTGTGTAAACTGAATCATCTGCATACACAGATTTTTAAGTTACAGACATCCTTTAAACAAGGAAAGTGTGCAAATGCTTGTTTTCCTTTTGAGGAATTATCAGTAAAAGACTAGCAAAGAATTAAAACAAACATTTCTATTTAACAGATTTACACACTAGTGTGTGTAATATCCTAAATAAAAGTTGGAGATAATAAATGTTAAATAATACTGCAAGTCCAGTGATTTTTCACTTCCCCTTTAACATCTCTTCACTATTTTGATTTTTTTTTTTAATATAAAAGTAGATAGACAGTTTTCCAGTTCTGTTAATGTTTCTTTTCCTTTGGTCATCCACGATTATCTTCATCTGTTGCATTCAAAATGTCAGTGAAGATCTCTCATTACCGAGTCTAAAATCAGACTGAATATTTAGCATTGAACAAACCTAAAAAGGAATACACAGAAGTGTTTCAAAGGGTCTGTTTTTTAAGAAGAATGTTCAACAAAACTCCCAATTGCTCCATTTATCACCTTCTGATCCCACTTGTAATTCAAATTCTCAAAGATTATTTCCAACTTGCTTTTTAAAGATTTTTTTCCTTTATTTTGCATTTGCTATTGCTTGGGAAATTTTGCAACTGTCAAGGATTTTCACTTCAAGTATTTTGCTATGATTGCAGAATGGGAATAATAACTGCTCCACAAAACTTTGGAGTGGCTTTAGAAACTAAGTTTCTCAAAAATTAATTTATGTGCTAAAATTACAAACCTGTTTAAATTTTCCTCTGATTTTTTCCAGATCTTCTTGCAGCTTATCATAAGTGGGGTCTTCATATGGGAATTTCTGAATCATCCCTATTAATGAATCCAGAGCCCTTAGCTTTTTGCTAGAAAAAACAAAATTAATCTAATTAAAAGAAAACACAATGATCCTTACACAGGAGTTTTTTGAAACAGTATCGCTATGAAAATTACACTGATATGTAATAATCCAGAGCACAAAACCCAGCCCTCCATCCTTCTTTAATTCAACTTTCAGCCCACTGTCAGGTGTGTTCCATATTCTTAAATAAGAAATTATGCAAACTAGGAATTATTCCAAATTGGGAATCAAGCACAATTGACAGATTTAAGGCTTCCATTTCAACTTACCAGTCCAAAGTTGAAAAATATTCAAGAATCAACAAATTGATTACATGACTGGGCAAAATAAAGAAATGCAACCAAAAAGGCAATTCTGGCAGACAGATTAATCAGAATGGGACAGAAAAAAAAGATGTGAAGAGAAGAATGGAAGTCACAGTGAGATGACTTTAAGCCTTTTTAACCTCACCTGTTCTTTGGATCTGTGCATTTCTGGAGCAGACAGTGCCACGTCAGTGCAAACCCAAGGTAGCAGCCAATCTGAAATTAATTTTACAGAGTCATGAGGGAAAGAAAAAACCACAAAGGACACAGAGCATAGACAGGGGAACAAAAATAAAGCACTACACTGTATCTCACTCTTTGGGAAAATAAACCCTGGGTACACAAACGTGTTTCCAAGCTGGAAAGGCTGGCAAGTACAAGGTAACCCAAGCCACCCTCTCAGTTGATGTGTTTAATCCTGCCTCCCTCTAGAGCTTTCCCAGTATGAGGAGATCACAGCAATTCTCTCTTATGGTTTGTCCAGGACCATTTTGTACAAACCATCCAGCTCTGGTGACTGCTGTTTGGCATTCTCATCCTGTAGCTGTGACAAACTGGAGAGGACATATGGGACAAGCTGAGGTGCCTCCCCACCAGTGTCCAGTCCCTGAATTGCTAGGAATGGTTATTGATCCAGGCGTGCAGAAGAGGAGCAGTGCCACAAACCCTCACAGCATCGCAATTAACAAAGAGTGCAGGAGACACACACACCTGCCTCTCTGTGGTTCCAGATTCCATGATTTTCCCTATGCTGGGCCACAGGAGATGGTACTGGGGGGGCAGCAGAACCTTTAGCCATAAATTTGGGAAAAAATATTACCAAAGCTCCATGCAGCAAATAAGCTGAGAAAAAACAAGTGCATCTACTGAGCTCTCCAGCTCAAAACAGCTTTATGGGTCCTCCTGGACACAGACATAGCAGTGAAACACAGCAGGCCTCAGCCTGGAAATTTCTGTGTGGCTGTCATTTTCTTATGACAAGAACATTGCAGTGCTGAAGAGTTTCCCCACTTACCTCTGAGCCCATCCTGGCTCCGTGCAGTGCTCCGTGCCTCCTGCCCTCAGCCATGCCAGCGTGGCTGCCCTCTGCAAGCCCCTCCTGGTAGCCCTCCCCGTGGAACCTGGGAGAGCAGAACCACAGCTTGGTTAATCTCCCTGTGGAACCTGGGAGAGCAGAACCACAGCTTGGTTAATCTCCCCGTGGAACCTCGGAGTGCACAACCACAGCTTGGTTAAACTCCCTGTGGAACCTGGGAGAGCAGAACCACAGCTTGGTTAATCTCCCCATGGAACCTGGGAGTGCACAACCACAGCTTGGTTAATCTCCTGTCCAGTCACACTGCACACAAGTGGCTCCTGGCAACAGAAACGTGCATTGCCTCCAAATCGTAGAAATACCACATAAAATCAATTTAAATCCCAGAATCACAGGCTTGTTTTGGTTGGGAAAGACCTCTGAGATCATTCAGTCCAACCTTTGAATGATCATCACTGTGTCAAGCAGCCCAGAGCCCTAAGTGTCACATCCAGCTGCTCTTTGGGCACCTCCCAAAGTGGTGACTCCAGCAGCTCCCTGGGCTGCCCCTTCTAAGGCCTGACAACCTTTTCCATGAAGAAATTCCTCCTTATGTCCAACTTAAACCTCCTCTGGAGCAGTTCAAGGCCACTTCTTTTTGTCCTATCACTTGTAACCAGGAAGTAAAGTCTGGCCCCACATGGGGGGCTCCTGTCAGGGAGTTGTAAGAGAGAAGGTTCTCCCCGAGCCTTCTTTTCTCCAGGCTGAGCCTCCCCAGCCACTTCTCATCCGACTTGTGCTCCAGAGCCTGCCCCAGCTCAATTCCCTTCTCTGGACACTCTCCAGCACCTCAAAGTCTTTCTTGTAGCGTGGGACCCACAACTGACCCCACAATTCAATGTGGGGCCTCAGCGGTGCCCAGAACACGAGGATGGTCACTGCCATGCTCCTGCTGACAATGCCAGGATGCCATTGTCCTTCTTGGCCACCTGGGCTCGTGTTCAGCAGCTCTCTGCCAGCACCCCCAGGCCCTTTCCCTCTGGGATGCTTTGCAGGGACTCTCCGGCTATCCTGGAAGGCTGCAGAGGGCTGAGGCGGCCCAAGGACCCGGCACTCGGCCTTGCTGACCCTCACCCCGCTGCTCTCAGCCCATCAACCCAGCCTGCCGGCGTGGGTCCCTCTGTGTGCTGACACCAATTCCCCTGGCAGCCTGTCCCAGCGTCCGACCATCCCCTGCATGAAGAACCCGTCCCTAACACCCAGCCCAAACCTCCCCGTCTCAGCTCCAGGTCGTTCGCGCCGCTCGCTCCCTCAGAACGCGCAGGGAGGCGAATTTTCCCCGCCGTCCTCCTCGGGCTCAGCGCTCGCCCTCCTTTCCCTGACGCTCCCCTGGCAGCTCCCAGAGGGAAGCGGAGCGCCGGGGGAGCCCCGCGCTGTAGAGAAGCCGCTGTGGGGCCGCTCCAGGCTGGCTCCGTGCTCCCACCTCTGCTCGGCCATCACGATCCCATCGAACAGGTCGGCCATGGCGGCGCGGGGCACGCCGGGAGCGTACGGCGCGCGGGAGGGGGCGTGGCTCATAATCATAGACCACGCCCCTATGGCAAGCCGCGCCCCCACACGCGACGATGGCGTGCGGCCACCAGGGGGCGCCCGAGCGCCGCCACAGATCCCCGGCCGTCCGTGGGGAAACGTCGGTGTCCCAGAAATCCCACCCAGCGTTCCAAAAATCCCGCCCAGTGTGCCAAAAAGCCCACTGTGCCTCCCAGAAATCCCACCCTGTGCCTCAAAGCGGTGTCCAGATGTCCCTGAGTTCCGCCCTGCCGTGCGGAGCTGGGTCCAGTGCCCCGGCTTGCTGTGGGTGAGGAGCCTTGTCCTGGTATCCAGCCTGAGCTTGAGGCAGCTCCATGCCGTTCTCCCGGCTGCTGTCGCTGGTCAGGGAATGATAGAGTTTGCACATCTCTCTCATGTAACATTGGTGTCTGTGGCTTTCAAGAAGTGTATTTTGGGTGTGTCCCCACAATTGTTTTCTGTGAGGGTGGTGCGGCCCTGGCACAGGCTGCCCAGAGAAGCTGTGGATGCGCCATCCCCGGGAAGTGTCCAAGGCCAGTTTGGATGGGGCTCTGAGCAACGTGGAAAGGTGTCCCTGCCCCTGGAATTAAATGATCTTTAAAGTCCCTTCCGACCCAAACCAGTCTATGATTCTAAAACATAAATATTTTTGGTGTTATTACCCACCCAAACTGTAGTGTGTCCTTCTAGGCTGCTCTGTTTAAACACTTAGAAATTGTTACAGATCAACACCAGTCAAGGGAAACATTCATACTCATTTACAAGCACGTGTTTTAAAGTTAACTTATTCTGTTTTCCAGAGACTTAATAAAATGTGGCTCTGGGTCACACTATTCTACCACCCTGCTGTTAGAATACATATATTTTTGAGGAGAAAAAAAGGGAATTTTTATTTAATTTATCAAGTTGCTCCCCATTCATATGAAAAGTACACTGGCAGAGTAGAAAGAGTGGCCCCCAAATTATCCACTAACAGGGTTTCAATTATTTGAGCAGAGGTAAAATGGACACTGTGACTTTGAATTGATTTATAGGTTTTCACACTTCCTCCCAGTGGAAATGAAGACGCTCAGTATCCCCTTTCCCGCTCCTCTAGCAACTCGTATTTGCACATCACAGCTTCCAGCTGAGACTTCCCAAGGAGACATTTGACACCTGAGCTTTAAAAACGTTTCGGGGCTGTAAAATGTTCTGTTGCAAATGAAAGCACCTCCATTGTCCCCCTGCCTTTGAGCAGCTCTGATGGGCAGGGGATGGGGTGTGCTGATGGGTGCTGCTGCTGGTGTTTACATTCCCACAGAACCAAAGGTGCTTTTTGGAGGTTTTGCACGCCCGGTTCCTGACCGAGTCAGGCGTCGCAGGGCAGGGGAAGCGTTTCCCAGCAATCCTCCAACCTCAAGCCGAGATCTTGTCAGATTTTATAAGCAAAACAGCCAGATTTGGTCAGAGCTGGGATGGGAAAACTCCAACGAAAACTGGAGCTCTCCAGGAAGTGGTATGGGTTAATTTAGCTCCTGGCATTCTTCCCTCTGTCTGAGTAAATATTGAGCCAACCTCTAACCGTGCTGTTGCCGGAAAAATCATCATGCTGCCGCTGGAAGAATGTAAGCCAAAGGTGTCAGCAAATAGGGTCACAAGAGAGCTCAAGATGATGTTTCCAAAATGTAAGGTTGCCTGTCTTTGCACCCTTGAGAAATATTCACAATGTTACACCCACTTAAAAAATCTCTCACTGGGTCAATTAAACTGTGTACCCTCCAAACTCCATTATTTGCCATGTTTCCTGTCAAATCTGTGCAAGTTTTTAGCAGAAAAGTGATTTTTCTTTTCTTGTCCCAACTTCAAAAGTTCATTCTTATATTGTTTTCTGGCTTTTTGTGTTTTGTTTGTTTTGCTTTTTTTTTTTTTTTAAGAAAGGTTTTGAAAGGCGTTCAAAGAATATATAGTGACTGATCAAAACTGGAAATGAAACCCCCTGAAATTTGAAAAGTTTTGGAATAAAACAACCTGGAAATCAGAACTACGTCTTCCAGCAAACGAGGAGTAGGAGCCCTCCGGATGTGTGGCAGTGGCTCAGCACAAAAGAGAATGGGAAAACACCATGGGAGGTGTTTGCCGGCCAAGAAATCTGCTGTTCCTGTGTCTCACAGCATTTCCAAATGGAAACATTCAGGCTCTTTTCCTGCCAGAAACTGACATCTTTTTCAGGCAAAACACACCACTTTTCTCCCTGGCAGCACTGGTTAGAATGGTTCCCATTTTTAAATGGGAGCAGCCTTCTACCCAGAGGATTTTTTTTGTCAAGGGAAGTGGTTGAGTCACCATCTCTGGAGGTATTTAAAAGATGTGTGGATGTGGCACTTGTGGAGAGACAGAAGAGTCAAGCAGATTTCAGTGTTGAAGATGATTTTCTCTTTTATTGCAAATGTACACATTACACTAATGATAATGCACAGAAATTTAAAAATTAGCTAAAATTACAGCTATTTTAAAATTGGCTATTGTTGGCTAAAATTCTGTTGATTACAAAACTGCACAAGATTTGTTACAACTAAAAAACCTATATTCAAAACTATATAAATAGAATCTTGAGCATAAATAACAGTAACAAAATAAACAGATGTACTTATTCAATAAATTAATTATAAATATTGCATTGGCAATGAAGTGCTAGGTCAGAAAAACACCGGTATTTCCAGTAAAGCTTTTTTTTTTTTTTTTTTTTTTTTTTTTTTTTTTTTTTATTGGTACAGAAACCTCTCTTATAAATGAACCTTTGGAAACAAGTAGAATCCCTGAACCGTTATTTTTTTTTTTCCCTTTGGCTTCACCTTGGCTATTCCTTCATTGAATCTTTTCAGAGGGAGAACAGAACTTGAAGACATTGGGTGCCTTGGCCAGAAGTCCTCACAATCCCTTCTTGCAAAGAGAATCCTGACCCAGTTCTGCAGCTTTTATCTCACTAAACCATCTCTCCACTGATTCCCATGGAGGCTGAATTGAGCCTGGAAGTGACTTGAAAGAATTCCTGGTGGTTAAAGGTTGAACACAAAAACCTATTTTACAACTGATTTGACCTATACATCCGTTCTCAGTGTTCTTCTCTATTTGCTAATGACATATACACGCTTATATACAACACAATCTTCATTTAAACATTCATTTGAGCTGCTCATTCCCTACCTGATGAACATCAATTCTAGCCCTGGGCACCCTTCCAACCGCACACTGAATCCTCACTGATTTTGATGAGAACTCTCTGCTGGGTGATTCTGATGCCACAGAGAACATAATTTAGCCTACAAAAGAAATCAATGATCAAGTTTCCCAAAGTACCTCTTAGCAGTAAGGGAAGGGAGAAATCTTTCCCTTTCTTCTCTTATTTCCTAAGGGAAGAAAAAGCACAATGTACAAGCAGATTTGTCTTTTCAGCAGTATGCTTTCCATAGGAGATCTTCCCCAGAATGTTGTTAGCAGCTCTTTAAAGAAGCAGCATTAACTCAAGTTACATCTGGTAGGATGTTTTCCTTCATCTAGTTTTGGTCCAAGTGTTTGAGTTGGGATCTCTGAAGAGGAAAATGTTTTCTGCATTTGCTTGTATGAGCAGCTATAACAGGTGAATATATGTGGAAGTGTAGCTGGTGTAGAAAAATTACAGTTATTTTATCACCACCTATGGAGGAATTCTGATAAAGTCGCTAAAGTTTTCGCATTTAATCCTGCTTTTCCAAACAAAACTATGGACAGGCAATTCTTTAGACTATAGAACAGGCACTCATCTCTTGCAGGTACAACAAGGACGAGGCTGGCTCCATACTCAAACACACAAAAAAGTTCCCAAATATCACTACACAGAAAGCTACAAACCCTACAGTCCTCTTCAATATTTCTGTATGTGTGGGAGCACAGTCAGTTCTGGAAGCTGGGGCTCTTCACTGGGGACAGTTTGGAGGCGATGCCAAAGGGATCCATGCTGTCCGTCTCCAGGGGCGAGGAGAACGCCTCTGGCTCAAAGGCCTGGCTGTAATCACCATATTCACCAAAGTCTGCTGACTCCATGGGCACCGTGTTGATCATGGGCAAGAAGTGAGACAGGGGAAGGAAATCCTTCCCCTTGAACTGCTGTCTTTGTTTGGCACTGCTCAAAGACACTGATATTCCATGTTTTTTGGATCGATACACGTTGTAGCCGTCTGGGCGAATCTCCTCTTCAAAGGAACAGTCTTCAGTGGAATACCTGAGCTGAAAAGCAAGGAATAGTGAGAATGACAAATATGCCCACCAGGCTGGGTGTATTCAACCACAAAACAAACCTTGGATGGGAAAAGTCCTAGTCCCTCAGTGGTGGTATCCTGCCTTTCCCAATCCCAATCCCAATCCCTATCCCTATCCCTATCCCTATCCCTATCCCTATCCCTATCCTATTCTGTTATATTCCTATTCTATTCTATTCTATTCTATTCTATTCTATTCTATTCTATTCTATTCTATTCCATTCCGTTCCGTTTCATTCCATTCCATTCCATTCCAGAACCCCTGAAGTTCTTTCCATGCCCATCCCGTCAAATAAGCTTTGAATCCCAGGATGTGCTTCTCCACAGCCACCACACTTATCCTGATTGAGCACTGGGAAAAAAGTCTCAGATGCCAGAGCAGATTTAGATGAATTTGTCCTTAATTGCAGTCTTAAGTCCTAATCCAAGTATATAACTCCTGCTCTGTTAGAGATCTGCCTGTGCAAAGGCTTCAGGATAGAAAGGCAGTGTGGCCAATCAGTAAAACAATGCTAAAAGGTAATTTCCACCTTTTTCCACTCAGAATTTACTGAAATAGCCAAGGACGCTTTTACAAAGTGTCATTTAACATGAGAATTGTTGAATTAATACCAGCACAAGTTAGGACTTGGTAGAGAAGAATGTATTTTCTTAGGCATGAATTTGTAGGATTACATTTGCAATGGCCTGT